AGCGCAGGATCTCCGAGAGCGCCCAGATGTAGTTCTTGGCGAGGCGCAGCGTCTCGATCTTGGACAGCTTCTGTGTCTTGGAATAGCAGGGCACCACCTTCCGCAGGTTGTCCAGCGCCGCGTTTAGGTCGTGCATGCGGTTGCGCTCCCGCGCGTTCGCCTTCTGCCGCCGCAGCTTGGAGCGCTCCAGGCGCGCCTTGGTCATCTTGCGTTTCTTGGGCCCACGCTTCTTGGGCCGCTCGCCCTCTGCCTCGTCCAGCCCTTCCTCCTCCTCCTCTTCCTCCTCCTCCTCGCCCCCCAGCTCGCCTTCCTCCTTGACCTCGGCCAGCGCGGCCTCCGGCACCTCGTCTGCACGGAGAGGGACCGGCTTGGCGGCCCGGGCGGGCCCGGGAGCCCCCGGCCCTGGCGGAGGCGGAGGTGGAGGCGGCGCGTCGCCCTTGTCGCTCCTCGGCTCGTCGTCGTCGCCGTCGCCCCAGCTGGCGAACTTGGGCACGTCCGAGAGGAGACCGGGCTCGCTGAACAGGCGGGTCAGCATGGTGCCTGAGGGCGCCCGGCAGGCGGGAAGGGGAGAGAGATAGCACAGAATGAGGGGCGCGCTGGGGTCATGCCGCCCTCCTCAACCCGCCTCCACCCCCGAGTCCAGTGCGGGTTCCTGCCCAGGGGGCCCCGGATGCCCACCTCCTCTGCCTGCCCCACCCTGAGCCGGCCCAACCCTGCCCCAGCCGCTCGCCCGGGATCTCGGCCCAGGCCCTCTCCCTAGCGCTGGGCCCCGGCTCCACCCCTCGCCTGAACGAGGGGCCGCTCCCCACGCCGGGCCTTCTACAGGTCTGGGCAGGGACCGAGCAGGGGCTTTAGAGAACAGAGATCTCTTCGCCTGGGGAGGCGGTGCACTCGCCCTGAAAGCCTCTTCTCTCTCGGCGGTGGAGGAAGGCTGGGCGGCCGCCGGTGGGGACAGCTGCCCCACTCCGCGGCTCCGGCGGCCCGGGCCCCTCTGCCCGGCTCCCCCACCCTCCAGTGGCTCTCACCCCCACGCTCCCTAATCCAATTTGCAACTTGGCCGCGCGCCGCCCTCGGCTCGGCCCCCACCCCCGCAGCCCCAATTCCAGAGGCGGGAGGATCGGGAGGATAGTCTCCTCCAGCCGGGCGTCCCCAGCTCCCCCAGCCGGCTCGGGGCGGCGAGGACTGAGAAACCCGGGCGTGGGGAGGAGACTGAGAGAAGCGAGCCCCGTCCGTCTCCCCTGCGGTCAGGGACCCCCTTCCCCCCTTTAAACTGCTTCCCTCCCACACGGCTCTTCAGATCTCGTTGTATTTCGGGATTGATGGGAAAAAATCCAAATTTGTTTGTTTGCTTCTTTTTTTTTCAGTCGTGGGGAAAGGTCGAAGGTTCCTCCGGGACAACCATGGGGGGTTCCCATCTCAGCCTCTTCACGCCCCCCCCATGACCCTGCTTCCCCTCCTCCCCAAGCCCATCGCAGGCAGAGACGCCTCCCTCCGCAGCCCCCGGAGCTGCAGCCCCTCGGGGAGAGGAAACCCGGACCGCCTCCGATGCACACCC